CCCACGGTTATCTCATTTCAAGCTGATTTCTGGCATTTAAATTTAAACTTTACAGGTAGGGTTTTCCTCCCAGTTTCTAGAGCAGTAGGTCAGACATTGGTCTTCGTGACAGCCTACTCCTACAGAAATCCGACCGTGATGCACAGTTTGTTAAGCCATACAAGAGGGGATACATCAAAACTAAAACCCTCACATAATCCCCTGCTACACATCATGCCTCCTCTGTAGCTCTGAGCCCATGATACAGACTTATGCTTTTGAAGGAATTTATTTGCATTTAAAAGCTTTAAAAAGACCTGGACCTCAGTTGCCTGGTTGCAATGCCGGTGTTTCGGTACCACGTAAAAGTGTGTGAGGACAGATCTAGCAACGATGCAAAGCTGCTACCATCATCAGGGCCTGATCTGCATCTAGGGCAGATGTAGACAGACTCAGCAGCCCTTTCCATCCCATGCTTAGAAGCAGCAGCTGCTTCCCCAGAAGGGACACAGCCAGAGAAAGAAGGGATGCTGCTGCCTCAGCTTTCAGCCCACTTGCCTGTGGTTTGGCATGGCCAAGATGAGCTTCCACCGATCCGCTCATCCTGCAGTGCCTCAGAGGAGACTCAGGAGCTATCAAAGAGGTGGAAAATCAATTTCATCGGCAAGCAAGAGCTCTGGGAGTCTGGTGTACATGCTGTAATCCCATCCTAAACAGAATGGGAAGAAGAGACCTGCAGCCCATGCCCAAACAAAAACCAGGGTTTAGGGCCTGGGGAAGAACCAAAAAACATCCAATTGCTACAGATTCTGGGCATTAAAATCCTTCTTCTGGGAATGTCCAGGTCTGTGACTTGAAGTGTAACACATAACACTGGATTCCTGCTAAAATTATACTAACAAACTAAAGAACTGATGCCTTTTTTTTTTTCCCCCCCATCAAAACAGCAGGGACTTTAAGGTTATGGGAACAGATTCCTTGCAGGCTTGGTACACCTCACAGTAACAACACAGAAAAATATCACAGCAACAGGGAGAAATAGGGCTGACTATTCTTCCTTTTAAACCTCAATTAAAAAATACATTGGATGAAATTTCCCATTAGCTGGTACTATTTGTACATCCCATGTTCTTTCTTTAATTAAAAAACATGCTTATTGCAATACTGCCAGAATCGCTTTTACGGTATTTTAATTGTAATGTCTCTGTCTGATTAAAAAAAGAAAATATGAACTAGAAACTGCCTGCAAAAAGTATCACTATGCATATCCCAAATGCGTTGAGCAAAATGGCATAGAAAACACCACAGCGCAAACATTTTTCTAACTGTGGCTACTTACAAGGGATTTTAAAATAGAGTGAGGACAGGAAAACAGAGGAAAAAGCTTTTTCTGTCTTTCAGTGAATTCACACCCAGTCTTTATTGGCGGTGACTGAAGCACCACTTATTTGACAAGTAGTTATGCAGATGTATCAGCTAATATTCGATGCTCTTTGCTAATAGCATCAAAGCCTAGGAAAAAGTCAAGGAAAATCAATATTTAGGTTTCTTTCCTCCTCAGGTCTACATGCAGGACCCATTCTAGCCACATCCTGATTTTAGCGCAGCTTCCAAGAGGTCCAAGATATTGTTGGATAAGCACTGATTTTGGGACATGGGTTCAAGATCAGACCACAACTGACAATGGCATGTGTATCTTCGGGGTTTTTTAGTTCCTTTTTTGTTTCTTTTGTATGTGTGTGTGTGTGTTTGTGGGATCTCGTAGCTTGAAGAGAAGCCCAGATTACCCATGGCATGTTGGAGGCTGGGTGTACATAATATATCACCGGTTTTTAGAGGCGGAAATCTCACATGAGGGGGTCAGAGCTTTCTCAAAACCTCAGCATGGAGTCTGACTGCTAAGATGCAGCAATGCCTACAACTGGTAAAGGACACACGGGATCATTGTGACAAGTAATATGGGCGCTTTTCTATAAGAGGGACCAAAATAATCTTCCCTCTTATGCCTGCAAGGGTGGCTACCAAAGTTGCCAATGCAAAGCAAATGGACAGTTGAATGCCTTCAGCTCCACCAGAGTTATACCAGCAATGTCACCCCAAAACCCACACCCAAGGTACCCCCAGAAGGAGGACAGGCAGCATTTTCAGTCTCTGGACTACCCTTGGGGCTGTTCTACACAGTACTAAAAATTCAGATAAAGGCAATAGCACATGTCTGAGGTATCAGCCCGTCACAGACAAAGGAGTTACTCCAGCATAAGCTCTGTGTAAAGGAAATTTCCATCTGTCCTGGGTTATCATAAATATTACCATACTTGTGATGTCGGGATCAAAAAATATATAAATAACTGCAATCTGCTGAATTTACAGAGTTATCTACAATCTGTCTATCTTGTATCTCTTCCCCAATCAGTATTGTCTGAGCAGTTCCATCGTCTGGTTATTAAACTTTCCACTGCCAATAACCACGTGTTCATGCTCCACTCGTCAAGGGGGAGGCAGAAGCTGGTGAGCCCTCATGGCAGTAGGCAGGACTCAGCTGCCTAATCTTATTTCACTATTGCTTTGGCCTCCGGATCTTCTGTCCAGACAGCCTGGTCACCACCAGAACCACCACATGCATCCGTCTGTATGCTAATGCAGCCAAAGCAGGGTCGCCTTAAGGATGCACGTGCAGCTGACGTGCTTCTTATAATAATCTTTAACCAATTTCTACAATGTTGAAATCATCATGAGGAGACCCCACACAGGCTGTGTTCAAAATCCTCAGGGTGTCTTAAAAAAGGGAGAAATTTCATGAAATGGGCTTATGTGTTGGGTTTAGTGAATACAGGACCTGGGCAATAGGGTACAACAGTGTCTTTGCAGAGGAGCAGACTCAGTAGCATTACAGGCATTTTCCTCCATAATGTCTGTTAAATTTTCAGCTTGTGAGCGCACAGATGCTGAGTCAAGAAAGCCAAAGGGAGCAGAGCTACAATTTTAATCCCATTCTCCAGCTCCAACTAAGAAAAACGCTTCAGTTCATGCTTCAATCAAAGTGCGCATCTATACCCGCCTGCAGGTTTGGGGTTTATTGTCATGCCCGTCTTGCAGCTGGGGAAACTTGGCAATTATTTGACAAGTTCAGAGATTTGACAGTTGCTACTCTAAGGGAATCACCTAACTGAGACTCATCTTCAGACAGGTATCTATAATACCTAAGATGAGCAGGTCTTTGCTAAAGTATGTTTCTCTCTATCAATATAGGAGCCTAAACAACTCCCCTGAGCTGTGCAACTTAAAGAAAGGTAAGGAAAAGGGGAGATGACTCCCACCCAATCTCACACCAGGCAGACCTCAGCACATCTTGACTCCAAATCTAACCAAGGCTACACAGCTAGAGGCACCCACGTCAGTGCAGGGCAGATGCAGCAAGTAAACTTCAGCAAAAAAGAATAAGTTCTGATAAAAAATGACCAAGTAGGTTTCTGCTTCCAGAATGCTTCCTCCTATGTTTAGCATGTAGCAATATTGAAATAACAGTATTTGGAAAATTTGAATGCTGCTTTCCTACCTGAATCTACGTTCCAAAGCTTTTGGGAAAACGTGATAAAGGGGAGAAATGATTTGAAATCAGAGAAGTTGAAAGCATAAAGACAGCCCTTCAGACTTCACTAAATTCGATAAAACTACCGTTTGCTTCACAAGTCCTGGCTGATAGATCATATCTGCCTTTGAGTAGGCCCAAAGGGGCCTCTACTACCAGATTTTGCCCCACTTCTTCACAAAGACAGAGGATGAGGCCCCAGATCCCCATCTAGATTTGAAGCCAAAAGTCTCAGAAAACCGGGGCTCAGTCTTATCTCCTCCCCTGCACCTCATAATCACACTGGGGTTATGAAGCACCTTTCAATGCTTAGCTTTATGATTTTCAACGGGGGGAGAGGGAAGAAAATCATACTAAAGTGTTTTTTTTTTTTTTTATTACAAGTTCTTGCTAATTTTTTTCTTTTAAGCAGGAATGATGTTTGATGTAGTAGTTCTTAAAAAATCTAGACTGACAAGGTTCAAATTTCCTTGGAAATGTTCACACAATAGGGACAAACTTGCAAGGTTTTATCTGTATAGAACAGATGTTAAATGTTAAGATTCAATGTTAAAATATAACTGTTAGATGCATATTTTTCATCATCATCTTAATGAAAAACAAGTACCTTTAACACCCTTTTGATATAAAATAATTTTTATCAACAGAAAAGTTCCTGGTCCTTAAACCTACAGAAAATTCTTCCCATTTTTTTCTTCTCAGTTTCAGCATAATCTTACACATGAGCTGAACTTTGAGCAAGCAATTGAACCAGAACAACTCATTCACTTAAATACCAAATGTTCCCAGCACTCTTCATGATCAGGGCCTAATTTCCAGGAATGAATATTTCTGGCACCGAATGCCAAGTTATTTCACTTCATACTTTGATACTCCCAGAGATGCATGTCCTGATACTTTTTCTGGGGCTACCTCAAGGTACACAAACCCTGCAGACCCAGCATTCCCCCCACGCTCATACTTGGTTATTCACTTTCCACCAGTTGTGCTCTAGGATCTTGTATTATTTATTACATTCTGTAGCTGTGGCCTGTAATTCTGTACCATCATTAATTTTGTAAAGGCTTTCGCAATACGCTCGCCTCAAAGATGCCAAACAAAACAGAGCTGATTATTGTTATCAGCACTGCCATTATCACTGAATGCCACTCAGGATAGCAGCGCTTTCGGTAGCTGGGGGGAAATGAAAAGAAAAATAAATAAATAAATAAAAAGCCTTCCTAGTCATATTGTCATTATGCCTCAAACAGCATAAACAATGCCTTTTGCATACATAATAATTAAACGCTTCCCCATCGCCATCCCTTGGCATCCACCAAGAGCAGGCCGAGGCGGCTGCCCAGCCTGGCATCTCCAGAGCTGGGCAAGGGCCGGGGGGCTCAAACTCCACGCCTGGAGGGAAGAGGAGCGCTGAACCCCCCTTTCTGCAGACCTTGGAGATGCAGCAGGTTGAGGGTGGCCGTGGTAGTCCCCAGCAGCAGGGTCCGGCCTTCTTCTATCGTGACACTATCGCCATCTCGCGGCGGGTGGCCAGCAGGCCAGCTGGAGTCCTCGGCCCAGCGGCCACAAAAGCGGAGGGCGAGCTGGAAAAAAGAAGAAGGGGAGAGGGTCAAAACTGTCCCCTCCCTTGAATGTCAGCTCCACGTGAAGCGTGGCACTGATTAACATGAAAACAGCAGGCAAATATTTTGACTCATGATGAGCAATGGAGAAATTATGTGTGCCTGTGGCAGGCTGTGCTTCCTCCTCACCTCTAAACTTTAAGCATGCACCTTGCAGCAAAGGTTTGGCTGTTTCTTAAGGAACATGAATATATTTTTATGTGGACTTATATGCACATGCGGACATAGGCAGTGATAAAACATCATCCGGACTCACACACGAGCTGTCAAGAACAGCTTCTACTGATCTGAGGGGAGTGGGGGGGAACCAGACATGGAAATAGTTGCGGTCCTCACTGGGTTGTGCTAATCTGAAACAGCAGCAGAAAGGATAACCCCCATACAAAGGCAAAATGTTGTTCCTTCATTTTCAGTCAGAGCACAAATATCCATTAAAAGCTTTAGCTTGGGAGGTGCGGTTTCCGTGAGTCGATACTGGTGGTGCTATGACAGTCACTCTCCCAACTGTGCTATTGTCAGTTTTAGTTTTGTGCGCCTGATCGTTTGTACACCACCTCTCATAGCACCTAAAACAGTCAGATAAGGATTATACTGTGGTTACTGTCTTAATTATTCACACTAGGGATGCCTGTTGGTCCCCAGGCTAAAAGACAGAACCAGTTTATGTCCATCCTCTCTGTAGGGTATGGATGCCAGTGTTTTCTATCCTCTGTCCCATTCTGCGATTTCCCTGCAAAGGGATTTACTTGATTCGGTCTAGAGTGAAGCCTGGGACAGAGTTAATGTGCATGCAGTGAAAACATCTGGAAAGCTAAGTGCCCGGCGTCAGAGGGAGTGAGCCACTTCATCACTGCAGAAGCACAGATAAGCCTTCGCATCTGTGTGCAACAGTTGCAGAGAGGACAATGAACACCTCTTTTCTCTATACTTGCAAAGTGTTACAGGACAAGATTCATCTCTATCACCAGCGAACATATATTTGTGTATTTCAGAGATTTGTGGCAAAGTTCCCAGCAGAAAGAATAGAAAGCTTTTTTCACTGTCTTTCTAAGGAGGCTGTGGATTACCCTTCACAGGCAGTGTTCTGAACCAGATTACATACAGTATACACGAGTATACAATAGACCCACTGAAAAAAATAAAGAGCTAGTTAAAATTATTTTTTATCTCAGAGCAGGGGACAGAGGAGGGAACAGTTCATTGAAAGGCACGCATTTCCCAGATACCCTGCTTATCAAGCCAACTGTAGCACGAAATTGCAGATGCCATAAATTCCTGTCTGGCACGACCTCAGCCAGCACTGCTAGCAAAGCACTGCACTGCATGATACAGTTGTGAAACAGTGAGATTCAGCTGAATGTTTTGCTGAGAACATTTCTCAAATGGCTTGAAGTCACTCTGACATCACTCTAACCCTCTCAAGTCACTTAGAAGCCCCCAATTAATGATAATGTTAAGAAAAATAAACTCCTCTTCTGAATATCTTTATATATATATAAATATATATATATAATGTTATTTATATATATAAACAGTTCCCCTTACTTACTAGAAAACATTCTAGCTCTTTGTTTAAGGTTCTGTCTGTATAACATCAGTGTTTAAGTTACTGTGTTATTCTTGCTAGGTTTCTGGTGTCACCTCTTGGAAAACTGTGTATCCATACAGTTTTACCAATACCTCCTGGCATAAAAGCTAAGAACTATCAACCTTCTCAGGACTGTAACTCAGAAAATGTATAAATATACTGAAAATAAGTTTTTAATTGTTTAGATAATATATATGTCCACAGTAAGAAGCAGTCCATACACCACCAACCTACACAAAGATAAACACATGGAATTCTATTGCTGAAAAATAAGTTTACTACCCAGGACTGACAGAGGCAAAACTGATAGAGGCAAAACAAAAAATAATGGTAATAATTTAACTGAGGTCATCAAAATCTGTCTTTCTACCAGGTCCCTAAAAAAAGTTCTCCAGTGAGAAGATGCCTGGCTTAGTCTGTTGCCATGCACATCACCTGTATTTGCATCCTTCATGGGATTTCTAATATGTATTTGCTTTTATTTAAAATATATATAGTAGACAGATAAGCATCAACTTATAACACAGGATCAAGAGCAATTTATAATCAATCATACCATCCTTGTATTACTGGAGAGGGTACAGATCTAAAGAATCTGTCTGAAGAGAGAAAAGGGGTTTTGGTCAAGGCACTTAAAATTACCAAAGTGCTAAAGAAGATGTAGAGGGGCTAGTGGGAAAGCAGCTCTGTAGTAACTAAGAAAAGACATCTGACTGATGGATGAAAATGAGACAGCAGAAGATTTTACTTAGTGACATTTCTCTTGCAGTCCTACATATTCTCAAAGACAAAACAAAACAAAAAAGGCATATCCTATAGGACCTGTGAGAGAAAAAGCATGGTCTAGTGCAAGACTAGTGAAATGGCCAACTGTGTTAAATCACAAGTACAGCTTGCCCAGACCTCGTGGATCCTATATGATTACCCTCTCTGTTTTCTGGGAGAAAAACACAGTGCAATGTCTGGCTGTATGGGTCTTGTTAAGCCCCTGGTTAAGCTATAACAGGTCTTGTTAAGCCATGGTGGTTATGTCCAGTTCCTATGAAGCAGCCCATGGTAAAATGACACTAACCAATGCACACACAAACTAATTGTCAAGAAAGGTGGGCAACAGACTCACAGCTCTAGAGGTCTATGTTCTCATCTGACCCCAATAGTTTCCATCCATGGGATCTCATAGAACCTTTTCAACTGTAGTGCCTGTCTCATCCAGCTGCCTGGTCAGTATGGGACAGGCTGTAACCCACATCCAAAAGGGTTTTGTTGCTCTGCAAGCTGAGCATGCTTTCATGACTGCCTGGACAGACTGACTCACCTGAGAGTCCAAGGACAAAACAGTGAGACAGCATCTCATCTCTGGAAGGCCACATCTTAAACATCTCCATCATGCAGACTGCAGCTCCTGTCCTTCTGCTCACAGCAGAGCAGGATAAGAACACCCCCCTCCGTATTAGACTTTTTATAAATGTAAGACTCCTTCCTTTTCCTTTTTTTTTTCACCTGTTTGGCACACAGCACTCAACCTATGGACTTATTTAAACACTTCTACATAAGACTGAAGAGCAGCAGCAGCTGTGAGGACCAGGGTCATGACTGAGCACCCATCCCAGGGTTTAGGAGACTGCAACATCTGTGCATCCACTGAACACTTAAACTGGACACCAAAACTTTTGCAGGACGTTGCCTCACATATGCCATCCATAGGAAACCCACTCTGGCAATGTGGGTTCTTCACTTTGTGGAAATTCTTCACGTTTTGAACCCAGTGCAGCAGCTGACACTAGCTCAGTAGGGAACCAAGCCTGCAAAATAACTCCCTCCCCATCAGAGCTCCAAAAAGGAGCTTATGCAAAGATAAAATAATGTTTAAAATCATAAAATAAAAGATGTGCAAGCTCCTTGCAGTTCAGCACATTATCCCCTTCCTCTCTCCTGCACCTTCTTTGTCCATTTTCAGGCAGGTTTCTTTCCATTTTCTGTTGTTAGCTGCTGCTGCTGCTGTCAGCCAGCCTGGGGTTGCCTGTGCGTCTGCCACTGGGAACACAAGCTCTCAGCACCAGTTTCTCAGCTTCTGCCTGTGACTACCAGGGCCCAGAAACAGCAGCAGCAACTGCAACCAATGAATAAATAACAGCAATAGGCTTGCATTCCCACACAGGCTGGCAAACAAGCCGCAAAGGGAAGGGATTATAAATCACCATTCCTTCAATTTTTGGCCTAAATTTTTGTCAATTACAATCGCTCCGCTAGCATAACGCATTATCTGGTGATTTTTAACTCCCCTCCATCAAAACAAAAGGTATTTTGAGGTGTTAAAAAGGGGAGAAAGACCCGTTTAGACACAACATAGCTCATATGATCCCATTTTGCAGTGACTTCCTAATTTGCTTGGTTAGGTGGGGTTTTACTGGAGTATAGTCCCAATAAGAGGACTGTTAGCAGCTGTTACAGACACAAAACCAGAGCCTGCATCCTCTGATCAGAAAAAGGCAGAAATCTTAAAACCAAACCAAGAAGCAATGGTTGATCTACAGCACAGATTTCGCTTGCTGCTGTGCTCCACGCTCTCTTTTCCTGGCCTCAGCCCAGGATTACCTGAGACATGGCGTGGAGAGAAACCCAAAGTCAGGCAGGTTTCCCCACCAACCCCACCTCCAGCAGCCAGCTTCCTCCTTGCCCCCAGGCACATCCACTAAGCACAAAACATCACCTGCAGTTTCACCCGAGAGAATCCCCAGGTTGCTTCCTGCCACCTCCAGCAGGAAGAAGGTGAACCATCGACTCCGTCGCCCTCACCTCTCCTGGTGTGCCTGGCCACGAACAAGCAAAGGTTTCGAATGCGGAGAGATTGACACCCACGAGACAGCCTTTTCCTTGGTGCTGACAGATTGCCATTTAACCAGCAAGTATGGAGAGCAAGCGTTGCTGTCCTCAGTCACCACGGAGAGACAAGGTTAACATTTTAAGTGATGGAGTAGCACGCTGTAGACCCAAGACTCCACACCACGTTCGAAACCCCTTTAATTTCAGTGATGGATACAGGGAGCTCACTTTCCAGGCTGTGAACTCTTGACAGCTCCTCAGTTTAATACATCAGGAAAAGATTTACACCCCCACACAACCCCCATCCACCTGAAGGAAAGAAAAACATATATTTGGAGGAGACAAAAGAGGAGGGGAGGTATTTTATTACCCTAGATGTCTTTTACAAGGGAAGTATTTTCAGCCATCTGCTCTAATTATTCCTCCTGTATTGGCCACCATCTCCATGCAACAATAGAAATAATTATCTCCTCAAGGGCAAAAATAATAAAAGAAATATTTACAGAAACAAACAAAAGTTGATTATTTTTAGCTCCTAGGGAAAAAAGCA